TATCATCCAAGCTGAAGTAGACTGCAGTTTTGACCTTGCTTAGGTCTTATCAACACCCCCAATGGGAGTTGAACCGTGATACTGCAGGATGTGAGCTCGACACGTTAACCACTCGGCCACATTGTGAAAAAATTCTACTACCAGTCCTTCATCACCTTAAATGAAATTGGGTGAATACATCTCATATTACTGATTTACTGGTAGTCTCGAAACTCTACTTAAATACGATAATAAGTTCTTATATCAGCCCTAGTTGTAGTCTCGAAAGCCTACTTATACAATCATAGAAGTATTGCCTTGGAACCGTGGCTGCTAATTTGTGCAAATAAGTACTCGGCGCGCCGTCATTCGCCCTTGCGCAAGGCGTGATGAAACTACGTAACTTGTTAGAATGAGAAATGTGTGAAACAATGCTTTATAAATAATTCACTAATTACTAAAATAAATATTTTTTCAATATTCCAATATTTTTATTTGCTACCAGTCTGTCTAATAAGTGTTAAACTGTGTTATCCCATTTACATGGCGAATGTGTACAGACAACCGTGCTCATGGTCTGCCACCGGCTCCTATACGAGGTCTTCTGTCAACCGGTAGCCACGGCGGCCATCACCTGGCTAGCCCTATCATGGGTTCTGGCCAGACAGCTACATTGGGCAACAGTTTCTCAGCGCAACAATCGCGCTGGGACCTCAGCCACGATTCACCGGGTACTGTTAGCCATACAGGGCGACTGACCTGGGCATCCGTGGGTCGGGGAAGCCAGGCCTGCCTACCTGGTGGTGGCGACTCCTCGTTGTCTCGGGGTTCAGTTTCGGTTTCCAACGCAAGCGCTAGCGAAGGGGCTACGCCAAGGCAAAGGGGTGTCTTTATTGCTGATGCTGCTTCCGCTGGGCAAACTCTATTGCCGGTTAATACAGTAGAAGCTGCGCTCGACCAGGGCCTGTTGCCAACACCGGTCTCAAGTGCAGCCTTAATAAACTCCGTCCGCGAGACCTCATCTCTTTGGTATCGGCCAAATCTGCAGAGAGCTGAGGGTTAGTCGTCAAAGTGACGAGAGCACCGCTTGATACTAACACACACTCCAAAATATTTGTTTCAGTATATCTCTAAAGGAGCAAAATGTGACATGATTTCTCCAGAGTCTAAAGTTAAATAAAACATCTTCCCGTAAATTTTACTGCATAATCACTAATAAGTTGAAGTTTTATACTGATTCAATGTAAGAAATCAGTAAATGTGCCAGGTGAAAAATTTACTATTTTTACTTAGTACTGTGTAACACATCTTTGGCAGAAATAGCAGCTTCTATCCAAGCTTTGTTCAATGGAGGGTTTATTTTAATGTAGAACATAAAGCTATTATTTCATTAATGACTTCCATTTCATTTGAAAATACGTTATTTGGACGATCTCACCAGTATATGACGCTCGATTAATTTTGCTCTAATAGACGATGAATGAAATGTCCTCCTCCGGTTTCAGGGAAATTATTGAGAGACTTCGCAATGCAAAAAACCTTTACAAACATCTTCAGAGCTCGGACGTGTTCTAAAAACGACTTAAAGCTTAGAATGAATCATGAAAACTAGTTGGCCCATCCATCAATTGTATATTTATTCAATTATTAGTATATATTTTATAACTTATGTTTATATATAATTTTACAAGTTGGACTTCCCAGTAAACTAGATTACAGCAGACCATAAGGAATCCGCTATCGTCTTATGCTGAGAGTGACCAAATAATCTCTTCATTCCTTAAATTCTCACGAAACGAAATTTACCCCACCAATTGTATATCAGGAGATTAAACAAGAGTCATTTTCTCTTCTTATTTGAAAAGTTCATCCAAAAGTATACCTGGCTGCCTAGTTATGCCCTCTGCGTGTATGGGATGTTCTTTGATGATGAGTGGATATTCTTCCTGCAAAATAATAAAAGGCCTCTGAGCTGCTCATCTTCCAAATATCTTTTGCTTTCCGACTGTGACATTTATTGTTCTAACGTTCTCCGAATTGTACTGCCTTTTTCAATTAAAACTACGCTAAAAGTGAACGTCGACTTACACTTTAAGTCTCGATGCCAGAAATGGTGATGAAATGCAATTTTCTCTGAATTTCGTAAAATTTAGTTTACTTTGCTCATTTTCATCGAGATTTTGAAAGGGAAACTTTGATATGGATGATGCTGGCTGAAAAAGACCATATACTTCTACATTCCTATCGAGCTTAGTCATATAACTTTATTTGGCCTTGCTTATTCTTCCGTTAAGGAAGCGAGCAGATGCATCAACTACTTTCACGTTAAACCTGATTAGAGACCCATAATAGAAAATAATCGAATGCTTTGGCAGCAACACCAGCCCTTTCTCCTTCTTGCCTTGTACTTACACTAAGAAGCACAGTGTATTAAAAAAGATAGCAGATCTTTTTTCTGCCTTAGAAAGCGAACTATCTTAAAGAGTGATAATACTTTTTTTCACCGTTGCGCCAAGGTTAAAAATAAACTTGGTCGTCGAGCTATCTTTGTTACTCCAGTTACGGTCTATAGAGTGACGTATTGATAGAAGTTATTGAGTACAATTCTGTCAATAATAATAATGTCAAGAGCGCCACAAAACGAAAACGGGCCAGAGAAGTCACATGATATATTTTCCATTAAGGAACCGATAGACGAGTTAGTACTCTGACCTTGTCTATGGAAGTAAACAGCCTGGTTCACGGTAGGAAGTTACAAGAATGGTTCCAAAGCAATTTTTGGTAAGCTAATGACAGAGATAGCATGAAATTGAGTTAACCTAGGTCGATTATGATGAGATAAGAACTGGTAGTAGGATTTATCACATATAAATTACTAGCCTTAATTTTGCATTTTCCAGCATCTACAGATTATTTGAAATATACTCATTTATTAAATGTGATTGCATCTATTATAATGGCAAATGCTTTAGACAATCTCATCACAAATATGATTTGGGAGAGTCCTTGTCTGCCTTGAAAGCCATACATGCTCTGTAACCTACTCGTAACTGTGGTTGACTGGCAGAGTGATAAAGTCCTGCCATTTTATTCTTCTCAATATGTAAGGAAGTACACGATGACTGCTGATGGGCTGAAAATGGAGTGCACTCTAGATAAGAAAACCATTTGGAGTCTAGGTAAAATTCAATGGCCCTGGGAAGTAAACTTATTACATCTAGGGAACTTCAAATATCAGTCTCACATCCTATTAATCAATCTAAGGTGGCTCATTTTCTTATTCAATATCTACTGTCAGCGTATTAACCTACACTTTGAAGAAAGCATCAAATGTGATATTTAGCGACCTCAAATCGACAGTCAGTCTCATCTACAGGCATAGTTATAGTCCGTTGCTAAAGCTTTCTTTTCAGCAATTTAAAACCAGACGTTCCTCAAATAAAGTTTTATAGATAAAAGAATAGAATTTGACTCATTAATTAAGCCATTTATTGACTTATTAAATTCAGATATGTAGACAAATGTTTAGCCATTCACTATTCTATCTCCTACCCAAACATAAAATAGTTACTTTTCTGAGTAATTCACACCTGGAAATTGGAATATGCGTACTTAAACAGTGTGTGAAAGAATGAGGCATTGAAATATTCTTATTCAATATTATGCTTAGATCAAGTGAATGCATATAAGAGGCTTTGAACCTGTCGGACAAATTAAAGATGGCATATGCAGTAATTCAATGGCACCCGTTGCCATGTATCTAGAGGTGAACTTTGCTATGATA